TCATGTGAGTGCAATACTTTCTACCCAAATGTTTTTTAATGGATTCACGCTATGAGTTTCCTTTTACATCTTTTCTTGATTAGGAGTGTAATAGTTTGGAGGATGTCCCGCCATCATATCAGTCTGTAATTGATGAAGGGCTTGTTGATTGATGATCTGTACTACGCTGACACTCACCACAAGCGCTATTGCCTATCAGGTGTGCATGGGCCATGATATCTGGTGAGTGCTACTGAATTGGGTGAGGTTTTCCTCTGGAGCACGTGGTGACATCTGAGTGCACTTCACTCAATCAATTATCGTTATGATTGCTCACCTGGTGATTTTCAGTGGATCAATAAGGACTGTGCACTTCATCACAATTTTCGTTTATCAGTTGGACTTATGTCAAATGATTTAAATATTTGTGTATATTTACAGTGTTATATTTTTTGTCATATTTTCACTGCTAGTATGTTTCTATATATATATACTGTATATATATAATTTTTTTTTAATGTATTTATTTTTTGCACTGCTTTTATTCATCGTTTTATGAGGTGATTATTGCATTATTCACTATTAGGGTAGCTGCATGCTTACACATTCTAAGTACCCATGTATTGACTTAGGTGAGTGATTTATTATGCATTTTTTCAGGTGTTAGAGGGTTTTTTTTCTTATATATTTTCACATCTCATTTTTCATATATGTTGTAATATATAAAAATCCATTTCAACATGTAGTATATATATACTGCATGTTGAAAGGCTGGCAAGGCAGGCGGCAGGCAAGGCAGAAGACAGGGATCACTGCTGGCATGGCAGAAGAGAGGGATTACTGCTGGCAGGGCAGAAGACAGGGGTCACCGCTGGTAGGGCAGAAGACAGGGGTCACTGATGATAGGGCAGAAGACATGGGTCACTGATGACAGGGCAGAAGCCAGGGGTCACCGCTGGCAGGGCAGAAGCCAGGGGTCACCGCTGGCAGGGCAGAAGACGGGTCACTGATGACAGGGCAGAAGACGGGTCACTGCTGGCAGGGCAGAAGACGTGTCACTACTAGCAGGGCAGAGGACAGGGGCACAGCTCCTTCTACCATCCCTGCACTGCACACAGTCGGGGCACAGGCAGCAGAGCTCCTCCTCCACACACAATATGTAACAAATCATTATAGTGTCAGTCAAGGACAGTATAGTATCAGGCTAGGACGGTAAAGTATCAGATTAGGGTGGTATTGTATCAATTTAGGGCAGCATAGTGGCAGGTTAAGGTAGTATAGTGGCCCTCTGACTTTGTAACGTTCAAAAGTAAGTCCCTCCAAACCCAGGTGTTAGAGGGTTTTTTTTCATATATATTTTCATATCTCATTTGCACGGTGAATATACGGTTTATATAACAGATGTATATTGTTTCTAATTCTTTACACGTTCCACAATAGTAATGATTCAGTCAAAGTATAAAGCTCTCTCTCATGCATGTTCCAGTTAGAACTGTGGAATGGTATTAAAAAGCAATCCTTAACAGCCACAATCTTACAATGAGTAGAAGACTTGGACTTATGTAATAAGGTCACTTCCTCCTCCCTATTTGTTTTGCCATAAAAAACTCAGATGAAAGAGAAAGTTTATTTTTACTTCCGATTAATCTGCCATTATTGAGAAATATGTAGGGAGTTGGAAACAATATTGGACTCTGCCCACCTCATGCGAGAGTCTTGCTCCTTGGTAATTGGCCAAACACTGTCTCATATGAAAGGACTAGGGGTTAGTTACATATTCCTCCATATGCGAAGATCATAGGTATTTTCTTTGCTACTGGCCACTGAATGGAGCTGCGGGGGCACAAATAAAAAATGAGTGTGCAGATTGGGAAGAGGCAACATATACTATATTGCCAAATGTATTGGGACGCCTGTCTTTACACGCACATGAACTTTAATAGTATCCCGATTTTAGTTCGTAGGGTTCACTATTGAGTTGGTCCACCCTTTGCAGCTATAACAGCTTCAACTCTTCTTGGAAGGCTATCCACTAGGTTTAGGAATGTGTCTATGGGAATGCATTCTTCCAGAAGAGCATTTGTGAGATCAGGCACTGATGTCGGATGAAGAGGCCTGGCTCACAGTCTCCGCTCTAATTCATCCCAAAGGTGTTCTATCGGGTTGAGGTCAGGACAGTGCAGGCCAGTCAAGTTCCTCCACTCCAAACTCGATGATCCATGTCTTTATGGACCTTGCTTTGCGCACTGGTGCACAGTCATGTTGGAACAGGAAGGGCCATCACCAAACTGTTCTCACAAAGTTGGGAACATGGAATTGTCCACAATGTCTTGGTATGCTGACGCCTTAAGAATTCCCTTCACTGGAATTAAGGGGCCAAGCCCAACCCCTGAAAAATGACCCCACACCATAATCCCCCTTCACCAAAGTTTACACTTGGCACAATGCAGTCAGGCAAAGACCGTTCTCCTAGCGACCTCCAAACCCAGACACGTCCATTGGATTGCCAGACAGAGAAGTGTGATTTGTCACTCCAGACCCCGCTCTGTCATTTTACATGGCCTACCACTTTTTGGCTGAGTTGCTGTTGTTCCCAGTTGCTTATAATACCACTAACAGTTGACTGTGGAATATTTAGTAGCAAGGAAATTTCATGGATGGACTTATTGCACAGGTGGCAACCTACAGTATCACGGTACCACGCTTGAATTCACTGAGCTCCTGAGAGCGACCCATTTTTTCATAAATGTTTGTAGAAGCAGTCTGCATGCCTATGTACTTGATTTTATACACCTGTGGCCATGGAGGTGTAACACCTGAATCCAATGATTTGGAGGGGTGTCCCAATACTTTTGGCAAAATAGTGCATGTTTTAAAGTGTCATTCAAAGAAAATCTCTTCTGAATGAATATGGAGACTGCCATTGCTGACATCTTTGTCTGCAAATGCTAGTTGCCTAACTATTATGCTGGTCCATGGCAAGGGTGAAGGCACACTTTTTTTGATGAGTTCCTTGGATATTGCTGTAATTGACTGACAACTACACGGTAAAGCAACAGTGTACCGAAAGAAATTTTGTGCCATTTCTATAGAGACAGAACTTTATTTTGATGTTATTTATTAGCCACTGGGTTTTTAATTTTTTTTACTAATTAAAGACAATTCGAACATTTTAAAAAATACTGTTTCTCTTACTTTCTGTTATAAAACTGATCAAATATGTAAATTAAAAATGCCAGGACAGTATAACCACCCCTAAAATGATCCCTTTTTGAGCCACAATTTTTTAGAGATGAGGAAACATGGTATTGAGGTAGGTAAAACATAGCTACTGGTATTGATGCACTAGATACAGTGCATACCAATCATACATAAGGAGGGAAGGGGTTAATGTACAGGTCACATACAGCAGTAGTGTCAGGGCCTAGGTCTGAACCTGGGACTTTGCTGTGTCTAGCAATGTCTGTTTTTGCTACGCTGCCTGAAATGCTGGACAGCTCCCTGGACAATTCTTTGAATGATTGTGCCTTCTTCAGCCATATCTCGCTTTTCTCTCCTGCTGCCGACCATACCTTCGCTACCACTCATTACCGACCTTTGGTTTGTTCCTTGACTCGCTTCTGCCTCATCCCAACTTACAGCCACTTGTTACTGAACTTTGGTTTGTTTACTAACTTCCCTTCTGTTTGATCGCTTCCTGCTATCTCTGTTACTGGACCCCAGCTTGCTCACCTCCTGGTGGGACCATCCTGAGGATTGCGACCTCATACTAACATGCAACAAAACCCATATCCACCATCCAGAGCTCTGGTGAACACAGGTTAGTGCTTAGACCCCACACCTCAGGGGAGCCCACGTCATCTGCCAGGGTGACCTGTTTGTATACCTATCCTGCTGGTTGGTGGGAGCCTCTCTGCTGCGTGACAAGTAGGATGGAGATGATGGGTATGTGAAGGATCACATACCCATAACGAGACAGGCTGGAGATCAGATTTATAAGAGGGGAGAGGGGGTGAAAGGAATAAAGTATATGTGAAACACCACCTTATAAAACAACCCAATCAGTTTAAAATAGGAATGCAAGGCAACACATTTGTGTATAGATATTTATATATTTGTAGCACTACACCCTTAGGAGTTGCTGAGTTATTTTCAGGCTCCCTGCCGTTCTGGACCCCTTTCTGAAAGCCCAACCCCATGCTGACACCACAGTATTCTTTTTACCAGAGTAAATTACCACTAGAGAGTAGAATCACAGACAGATTGGTGTAAACTGATATGATGTTCGTATTAAATTTCAATGTAAGCTAGTTAAACAGCAACTCTAAGCAAAGAAGCAACACATACAGCAGAATCTCAATCAGTGTTAGCAGGTCTGTTTTATAGAAGTTTACCCAATACCTTCACCCAGAGGTGTTTCTAGTCCCCAGTGCGCAAGGAAAACTCTCAAAGTTTGAACTAGCTCACTTTGGGCCCTCAGAATCTGATGGCAAGGTTTAAATCTGAGATAGGACACTCTTTAACCAGGTTAGTCAATGTCCCTTGAAGTGCAGTGAGGAATCTTCTGCATGCTCTTTGGGGCCCAGTTGGTGCACAAGTAGAAAGAGATGAAGATGACAGTCCCTCAAAGGATTGATGCAAGAAAAGGAAGATGGAAGCACAAGTACTATCCCTTTAATTGGCAATCGATTTGGGTGGAGTCCCTTTAATGCACTGAGCAGGTTACAAATTTTAGAAACAAAGGTGTCAGAAGTTGGCAGAAGCACTTTCTGGCAAAGGGCAACTCCACTCTGGGCTGCAGTAACCAATGGCAATTGTGGTAGAGGTTCCTTTAACTACTTGCCAACCGCAGATAGCCGAATGATGGCTACACTGCGGCCGGCCAGTTCTGGGAGGGCGTCATATGATGTCCTCCCAGAACGTGCTCTCCTGCGCGCCCCCAGGGGCTCCCCCCCGGCGATCTCCGTGATCGCTGTGTCCTACGGATACAGCTGATCACGTGATGTGGTAAAAGGCCAATCACTGCGGCCTTTTACCACGTGATCAGCCGCGTCCAATGACATGCTGATCACCGGGAAATGCAATTGCCGGTTCTCGGCTGCACTTTCCTCACGCTGTTAGAGCGCGAGGAAAGTACTGCCGAGAACCGGCAGTTGTCAGAGCAGGGATCGGCACCGTGATCGGTACCCAGCAGTGCCACCCACCAGTGACGCCCACCTGTGCCCAACAGTGCACCCACCTGTGCCCAGCAGTGCACACACCTGTTCCCAGCAGTGCCCACCAGTACCACCTAGCAGTACCACAAACCTGTGCCCAGAAATGCCACCTACCTGTGCCCAGAAGTGCCACCCACCTGTGCCCACCAGTGCCCATCAGTGCAGCCCAGCAGTTCTGCCAGTCAGTGCCACCAGTCAGTGCCCAGCGGTTGTGCCCGTCAGTGCCCAGCAGTTGCGCCAGTCAATGCCTAGCAGTGCCGCCAGTCAGTGCCAGGCACTGATGCCAGTCAGTGCCACCTATCAGTGCTGTCTATCAGTGCCGCCTATCCGTGACACCTCATTAGTGCTGCCTATCAGTGCCGCCTATCTGTGCCACCTCAGTGCTGCCTATCAGTGCCCATCAGTGCTGCCTATCAGTGCCCATCAGTGCTGCCTCATCAACGCACATCAATGAAGGAGAAAAATGACCTATTTGAAAAATGTTATAATAGAATAAAAGAAACTTTTTTTTCAAATTATTTGCACTTTTTTTGTTTATAGCGCAAAAAGTAAAGCGCCCAGCGGCGATTAAATACCAAAAGAAATCTTTATTTGTGAGAAAAAAATGATAAAATTTCATATGGGTACAATCTTGCATGACTGCGCAATTGTCATTCAAAGTGCAACAGCGCAGAAAGCTGAAAATTGGCCTGGTAAAGAAGGGGGTATAAGTGCCCGGTAGGCAAGTGGTTAAGAGGGCAGGCCGATGGTTAAGGGTGCACTGATGTGGTTTGGCCTGCAGAAGACATGCACTGCAGTCAGCTCTGATGATTGGACTTTGCTGCAAATATGTTCAAAAGTAGCAGCCAGGGGAACTAGGCTGCAACACGTGTTAACTATATGCAATGTCTGCAACTGTGTGCAGGAAAGTGGCAGATATGAGAAGAATGTCAGTGTTCACTTGTTCGGCTGGTGTATGGGACTCTCTCACCCGATCGGTGGCATCCAGCAGGTCCTGGCAGTCTCTCTTTCTCTGCTGATGAAGATCCCCACAGGTTCTCTGGTCTCACTTGTTGCGTTTCTATTTCTATTTCTGCTCTCCAGCGCTCTCCTCTCTCACTGCCTGTCCAGTCTCCCAGGCTTCTGTTTCTAAATGCCCCCACCAACACACCAACTACTCTGGGAAATGTAGTCCTGTGGTACACTGTTTTTCAGCAAAGTCCTGCAGTTCAGTATACAAGGTCCATGGGGCTGCAGAGTATGAGTGCCACTGAATTGCAGGACAATGCCATCTTGTGTTTTACTTAACATCCTCCAACTTGCATTGTAGCAGGGTGTTATATGTATTGTGACAGTAGGCAGGTAAAATCACCTGGTTGCATCCAGGATGGCAGATACATTTATCCAAGATTCAGGCTCTATGTGGATTTGTTCCACTAGGGCAGTGGTGGGCAACCTTTTTTTTCAACTGAGCCAAATCTCGCCAAAACCACGATTGAAATTTATTTTGAGAGCCACATTTTTAAAACTGAAAATACATAGGATGGTACACTGTTTTTAGTTTCAATAAGTTTTTATAGTAATTCATCCCCCATAGTAATTCATCCCCCATATAGTAATTCATCCCCCATAGTAATTCATCCCCCATATAGTAATTAATCCCCCGTATAGTAATTCATCCCCCATATAGTAATTCATCCCCCATAGTAATTCACCCCCCATAGTAATTCATCCCCCATATAGTAATTCATCCCCCATATAGTAATTCATCCCCTATAGTAATTCATCCCCCTATAGTAATTCATCCCCCTATAGTAATTCATCCCCCCTATAGTAATTCATCCCCCATAGTAATTCATCCCCCCTATAGTAATTCATCCCCCATAGTAATTCATCCCCCCTATAGTAATTCATCCCCCATATTAATTCATCCCTCATATAGTAGTAGTAAGTAAGTAGCAAGTAGTAAGCCAAGTCCCCCCTGTGTCAATTCACTTACCTTTGCTCCGCGCGTTCCTCTCGCCGTGTTCCCGCGCCGTTCCGGTCTTCAGGGCGGACTGTGAGAGGAGCCTAGCTCCTCTCACGTTCGTCACGCTGCCCCGCCTACACACATCCTGACAGCCAATCACTGGCTATCAGGATGTGAGTGGCAGCGAGACTGGCCAATCATTGCATTTGAGCGTGCTGCCCTGGCTGTTTTTTTTTTGGATCACGCTGCAGAGTCCCTGCCGCCGGGAGGAGGGAGGGGAGCGGGCGCCCGGCACACAAGAGCCGCATTAAAGCGTGTAAAGAGCCGCATGTGGCTCGCGAGCCACGGCTTGCCGACCACTGCACTAGGGGGAAGTGCTGAGCCCTTCAACAGTGAGGTAATGAGCCCAGCTGAAGGTAGTGGGCTCATTAGGGCCTCTATAAATCTTCCCAGCTTTTATAGGGAGTTGCTCCATCCTGGAACTAGTTCTGTGCCTGAGTAGACTGGGGAGCTTCATATCTGTCTGTGCGGTGAGACAAACGCCTGTATGGCCAGCCTCTAAAGTACAGGGAGATAGGGACTAGGTGCATCCTGGTGCTACACCTAGTCTCTATCTCCTTGTTCTTTAGAGGCTGGCCGCCACACAGGCGTTTGTCTCACCGCACAGACAGATATGAAGCTCCCTGGTCTACTCAGGCACATATATATATATATATATATATATATATATATATATATATATATATATATACCTATTTTTTTCTTTTTTTTAAAGTGATCATATAACCTCTGTTCTCAACTGCATAAGGGACTTAGAGAGCTCAGTATGGAGACTGCAGGGGGGGGGGGTGTCAGCTGGAGGCAGAGAACACTGCCCTTCCTAATGAAGAAGGCTGTGCTCCCGAGTAGTATTTCAAAAAGAAACTTGACCATGTTGGGATTGAGGTGCTTTCATGCCCTGGTGTGGTCAGTTTTAAATAGGAAACCATGGGGACTGGTAGGCTCACCAGATATTTCACAGAAAGGAAGAAATGCAAAGGGAACAGGATACTTTTTCATACAAGTACATGGTAACACAGACACATAACAGGAATATGAAATGCTGGGGTGACACAAATCTTGATCTACCACAGTTGCTGATCTGTGCTGCAATCTGGAAGTAATGGCTCATTCATTCATTGGTTCTCCATTCCTTGCCTTCCTTCTTTGTAAGAGCAAGGGAAGGGCTTTCCAATATAAACACTACACAGTTTATATTTGTGATCACTGTAATTAGTCATCTCAACAATCACATAGTACAGACCCACTTAGATCAGCTCTGTACACTGTGTCTGTGAACCGAGCTGATTAGTTTATAGTTGGCACAGTGGCTTAGTGGTTAGCATTTCTTCCTGGCAGTACTAGGGTCGTTGGTTCGAAACCCAATCACGGCACCACCTGCCTGGAGTTTGCATGTTCTCCCTGTGCCTGTGTGGGTTTCCTCCGGGTACTCTGGTTTCCTCCCACACACCAAAGACATGCAGGTAGGTTAATTGGATCCTGTCTAAATTGTCCCTAGTATGTGTATGTATGAATGTGAGTTAGGGACCTTAGATTGTACACCCCTTGAGGGTTAGGGACTGATGTGAATGTACAATATATATATATGTAAAGCGCTGTGTAAATTGACAGCGCTATAGAAGTACCTGAAATAAATAAATAGTCATTCAAAGGCACACTGGCTACCCAAGGGTGCTTTCTGAAGTGCTGTTTTAAAATGTGTGGCAGTACATGAGAGGTTAATGTGCATGCCAGGACCTGTTTGGTGCTGAAGAGCATATGACCTGTATCAACATGTACAGTGCCTTTGAAAAAGTCTTTTATTTATAAAAAATTTGGAAAAAAATGTATCATTTTCCTTCCACTTCACAATTATGTGCCACTTTGTGTTGGTCTATCACATAAAATCCCAATAAAATACATTTATGTTTTATAGTTGTAACATGACAAAATGTGATAAATTTCAAGGGGTATGAATACTTTTTCAAGGCACTGTAGCGGTCCTTCAAGCATAGTAAATTCTTATGTCCAGTGTACTGGACTACTATCTTTATATTCCTATTTTTTGAGGCTTTACATGATGACGGCCCTTGTTGATGTGCATTAAGGCAGCGGAGTGGCATCATACCAACATTTTTGCATGATAGTAGCTTCCCTTGTCACTGACTCAAGGTCTTTCATGCTTACAGGAAACGTCACATGAGGTAGATTTACTAAAAAACTGATGCACTCAAAATCTGGAGCATCTGTGCAAGGTAGCCAATGCAGCTTGTTCAGTTAAGCTTTGGCAATAATATCTGGAAGTTGATTGGTTTCTATGCAGAAGTGAGCCTGATTTTGTACTCTCCAGCTTTAGTAAATAAACCCCATGATGTTGGTTGTGTGTAAAAGAATTTTGCGAAAAAAAAAAAAACCTGCAAGTTGTCCGATCGGCTGAGTCGACTGGACTAAGGTGTGTAAAAATGGGTAAGCGTCATCAGCTGTACTGAAATATAGTTTCTTTATTTCACCAAATAGTGTTTTGTGTTTCAAATTTCCACTTTCTCTGTTCAGGATGAAAACAAGCATATTCAGATTCGAGATTTAAGATACTGTAGTAGTAGCTGACAGAACTTTTATAAGAGCTTTCTCATTCAGTAATAATTTACTATCATGTTTTCCTCTGTAGATTAATGGAAATGTAGTATACAAATGGGCTTTGCTCTCTATATGTGGTACAAACAACACAATTTGTGCTTTTATATAAACAATAGAGAGCTTAAAAACACTTCCTTTTGTCTAAAGAGTCTGAAAAAGCAATAAAGATGCCACAAATCTGACAATGTTCTCAATATTGTTTAGGGTCTATTTATAAAGGTAGAACGAAGGGAAAGAAAGTAAAGTGGATATCCATCCATCGTGAGCTGTCAGGTTTTAGATTTTATTATATGGGAAAATAACATAGGCTAGAAAAAAAGCCATAGGCAACAAACCTACTTTGTTCTTGTTTTTCTTTCTCCAGCTTTTACTTTCTTCTTCAAGGTGACTGTGAATACCTGTCTTTGTCAACTGATAATGAGAGAATTATTGACACTAAGCCTAGCCATCGTCCTACTACTCAGTAGTACAACAGTGGCAACTATGATAACTCCCAACAGATAAAGGGATAGGAGGGGGCAGGGTCATCTTGGAACACTGAAGGATTTATCACTGGGCCCTGCTATGTAGATGTGCTGGGGGCCAA